ATTATTGGATTGATATAAAACGCCCTAAACGGTGAAGAGCAATGTCGCTTATGTACTGCGATCGTCAGTCCGTCCATTATACGTGACAATCACAGCAAGTACTCCCTTTACACCGCGTCCACACGGCCATATTTGTACCATTGTAGTATAACACACATCTATACAAATAAATAAAATTGTAGTGTCTGTTTGTAATGTCAAAATAACAGCTTTTTACTAAATGCATATGAAAGTAAAAATATATGGTACTTTAACAAAAACACAATTTTTAAAATTTTTGTCTGTATGTCTGTCTGTCTGTTCCGACTAATCTCCGAAACGGCTAAACCGATTTTGACGAAACTTTGGCGGACAGCTGATGTTATAAGGAGTAACTTAGGCTAATTTTATTTTGGAATAGTTGTCCGCGAAAAAAAAATTAATACCCATGAAGTTGAGAACAAAATCTGATTCAAATAGGGAAGTACAATAATAAATTACTAATATTATTCTATGCGAACGAAGTTGCGGTCACAGCTAGTTAACAATATATATATATATATATATTACAAATTGCAATACAACATTGCGTCCAAACATCCATTCAATTTGAAGCGCCAGTAGCCTTGGATTACCTCGTTTATCCAGTGGTCGGTAACGCGACCGATGTGGTACCGTGTTCGAACCATGGGTCGGGCTAAAATCACATATTGAGTTTTTCTGTTAAGAAATACTCAGTAGCAGCCCGGAGTCAAAAAGTTGGCTATGTTTACATCTCCGTGCCTCGGAAATGTTAGACAATAACAAACACACAAAGTTAAGTTATGCTTCCATTTTTTTAATGCTAGAGTGCGCTCTTTAATGTTTCGTTATCTATGTCCTATATATATATATATATTGTCAGTCATGAGTTCATGCTGTTAGCTCATGTAAAAAACGAAATAAAAAATAAACGTCGCATAATATTAGAAATCTTACTCCGTTTTATTAAATCAAAGCCCTAAGGCCCATTACGAAAGCACGTAAAGCCTTTGGTCCTGCGCCTTCTTTTCGGTCGTGTCGGATTACTGTCCAATCGGACTTTGGGAGTGAGAATGCACTTGTTGCTTGCTAATACACTCAGGCACTATATTCCTGTCCTGAGCAGATGGTTGGTGGTTGAAACTAGCCGCCGTGATTCGTGACCATTTCAAAGTTAAAATGATGGGTACTGTTGTCGTAAACCACTCGTAAACACATGCATTTTACACTTATTTAGAGTTTCTAACATTTTTTTACCACGTTTTAATTAACTCGCTTTCTTGTCTGTTCGATATAAATGACATTGTTCTGCGTCCATACAATGTTCGCCTAAGAACCAACAGTGAAAAAAAATACGTTTTTAAGTCCGAAATTACACATAATTGTATGTAAGAACAATAACTCCTGACGGACACTTCTGAAAACTTAGATATTTGCAGTTATCATAGAGATTTTGAGGTTATGATTTATTTTTATGAAACATTACTATGTTATTGCTAATGTTTTTTTTTATAGGACGAGGGTGACAAACGAGCACACAGTCCACCTGATGGTAGTAGGATGGTAGGTGTTGCGGCCCATAGACATCTACATCTATCCTCTATTACAAATCAAAATGTAGATGCGTTGTCACCCGTGAGGACTAAGATGGAATGCCTCATTTCCAGTAAAAAGGGCCTCCGGCCACCTGCACTCACCAAGCGAAACGCAGAGGTAAACCTCTACTTCACGCTGGTATTCTGTGAGGTCGTGGTACCACCCCGGTTCGAGCCGGCTCATCCGTGCGACAGCAACAGCTGCCGCGTGGCTCTACTACTGTTAATGTAAGCAGTTCAGTGTTGGTCTAGCATTTCTACTGGTAAATACGAGGGTGGATTGAAAAGTACTCGGCCTAACACAGATCCATTCAATTCTAAAAATCAAATCTACCCACATTATTTAGTTCAGTTCAGACTAGTTCATTGTGTGAAGTTCGAAACGTGTGCGATAATTAGTTGTGATTTTATAAATTTATTAACAAAGTAATCGGACATAATTTCCGCGAATGGAGCAAATCGAGCAGCGTGCCGTCATTAAGTACCTCCATAAGAAGGGGCTATCATCAAAAGCCATCCATGATGACATGGTCAGTACATTAGGCGATTGTGCTCTGTCATATTCATCCGTCAAAAAATGGATAGCAGAATTTAAGCGTGGTAGAGAGAGTGTGAAAGATGAACCCCGCTCTGGAAGGCCTTCGACGTCAACTACTGACGAAAATATTAAAAAAGTACTTGATTTAATAATGGGAGACCGCAGATTAAAAATTACAGAGATAGCCGAGATTATAGGCATCTCTTATGAACGAACTCAAAACATCATTGTCAACGAGTTGGGTTTCCACAAGGTGTCTGCGAGGTGGGTTCCGCGACTGCTTTCAGTTGAACAAAAAAGGACGCGATTGACTATTTCACGCGACTGTTTGGAGTTATTTGAAGCCGATGCAGATGATTTTTTGAATCGTTTTGTTACTATGGACGAAACATGGGTTCATTACTGTACACCGGAAACAAAACAACAATCAAAACAGTGGAGAAGACCTGGTTCACCACCCCCTAAAAAGGCTAAGTCGATTTTGTCGGCAAATAAGGTGATGGCTTCAGTATTCTGGGACTCGAAAGGTGTGATTATGATTGATTATCTTGAAAGGGGTCAGAATATAAACTCTGATTACTACTGCACCTTACTACGTTGTTTACGAGAGGAAATAAAAGAAAAACGTCGAGAAATGCTCAGAAGAAAAGTCTTGTTTCATCAAGATAACGCCCGTGTTCACACGTCAGTACAGTCAATGGCTGAAATTCACAACTGTGGCTTTGAACTGTTACCGCATCCGCCGTATTCACCTGATCTGGCACCATCAGACTTCTTTCTGTTCCCTAACCTAAAAAAGCACTTGGGAGGTCAAAGATTTTCGACAAACGACGAGGTCAAAGCAGCTGTAGACGCATATTTTGACTCTAAGGAAGAATCATTTTTTTTCAACAGTCTAAATGCTTGGAAGGGGAGGTGGCAAAAGTGTATTGAACTTGATGGTGATTATGTAGAAAAATAAAAATATAACTGATTTAGTATTTGTTTATTTTCTTGGTTAGGCCGAGTACTTTTCAATCCACCCTCGTAAAACTCAGGTTGTGATTAGATAAACTTATCGCATAACAAACCAACTGCACAGTGCACTTAGATTCCGAAAACATTTGCAGTAATGTATTTTTTCAAACGAAACGATCCGTCCTTTGCAATCGATTCTAAACTTACCTACTTCCTGATGAGCTAGAGATTTTAAACTTTAAATATAATATTATTAAGCGACTAAGGTCGTCCGCGGCCGCCGCTTGGGCAACATTAAAGGCGAGAGGAGTGAGTGAAATGGCCTACACTTATTTTAATCTTGGAGCTAAATTTAATTACAAAGTTGATACAAATGTGTAAGGGTGGAGTTATGCCACATTGTTGCAAACATGTCCGTTGTGGTTCTGCGACTTTGGACGTCTCGTGTTTAAAAATCAGGTGTTAATTGTTATGTTTTTGTTGTATTAGCAAGGTTAACAAATGAGTACAAAGTCCAACTCATGGTAAGAGAACGCTGTGGCCCTTTAGACACTTTTACGTACCTGATATCTGTCCTAGATTAAATCAAAATGAAGATGCGTTGTCACCTCGCAGGGCTTAGGTGAAATGTCATCATCAATAAAAAAGAATTTCGGTAAGAAGAAAGGGCGAGATAATCTACACTTTTTCTCAATTTAAAACTAACATTTATCTGATTGTTCAGTCGAGGTCGAAATCGGCTTAAAGAATATGCCCTTTTATATTTTTGTGTAAGAGAAATGCGAACGTTTTCGTTTAATAGCAGCCAAATAGCAGTACTTGCACTGCTGTGTACCGATGTAAAGGAATTATAGACTACTAGCTGACCAGGCAGATGTTGTTCTGCCCTTTCTACCCTTCCTATAAAAATCCTTAAATTCGCAATAAAAAATATTGAAGGTCACTTATTGGGATAAAAAGTATCCTATCTCTCAAGTTGGATTAAACTGCACACAGTGTGCGAAATTTCATTAAAAAAAAAGTTCTGTAGTTTAGGAGCTCATCGCGGACAAACAATGTGACACTTAATTTTTATATATAAAGATAAAACCAATATAATTGCAGACTGTGAGGCATTCTGTCTTAGTACTCAGGGATTACAACGCATCTGTAGCATTCTTTATTTGAAGTTAGTTAGGGGTATCCATGGTCTACAGTGGCCATCGATATATATGTACTACGTACTAGATTGCGCATTCCGAACATACACTATGTTCAACTGAACTGTACTGCAATCCGTACAGTGTAATTTAGTGTGGTTTCAATCTACTAGTTAGTCTGTGGTTTTAATATTCATGCAGTGTGGAGCGTCGCTAATAATACAGCGCTTAAATCAACTGCGTATGCACAACTCTACTATCTCTACTATCGTAGTGCACATTTTTTGTTTAGAATGGCTTGTCTAGTACGTAGTACATATAACTCAATGACAGTAGCCATTTATCATCAAGCAGACTGTAAGTTCATTAGTCTTTTCAATTTTATAAACAAATAAGACTACTTCACTGGCACTGCTAACTAATTATTGATGAAGCTCTAACGACCGACTGAAACCCTCTCAGGAATGAGAGGAGGCCTGTGCCCACTTGTGGGACGTATATAGGCTGTAACTTTACTTTACTTAAAGACCGACTGGTGAGGGAAATCCATCCATGAATAAATAGAATGGAGGATAGGAAGCCGCTTTACCAGTTTTAAAGTTATCAGTTTTGCGCTCTCCAACCCGCCTGCCTAGCGAAGTGCCTGTCAGTTAGCGCATTCCTGAAATGGAGCCCAGCGGTGGTCTTAAAGGCTTCACTTTTTATATCTAACCAATATTGTTATTTCATCGCTTATTATACATACATTACATGTTCCGTTCTTGTTCGCAGAGTACTCCACCAATGTTGCACGATTTGGCGTTTTTCATGTCCGGCGGTCGGTTACGGTGAGGCTTACGTATTTCTTACTTATATTGACAACTACATCATCACGTCTGATGGAGATCGGTGTAAACTGGGCAGTGAGGACGATTCCAGATGTAGTTCCGCAAAGTTAACCGTTTTGAAAGTCAACGATACAGTTTAGCGTGTCATTTTGGCCCATTTTGACCATGATGGCAACTTGCGAATGCCGTGCATGAATTATCAACGCTATTGAGATAAGATCTGGGCGAGGCTTGCATTAGACACGGGGACAATTACAACTCTACCGGAACCGAAAATCAACAATTTGTGTTTTTGGCTGCTGTAATTCGAAACAGGAACTCGCGACTTAGGGAGCCAGGTCTCTGACCACCAAGCCAAATTATGGCCAATCATAATTAAACCAAAAATTAATTGTATTTCCAAGATTGAATACCCTATCATGCTGCATAGATATCCTCTTTTTTTACTTTCTTCGTTTGTAGGTGTAGGGTTGTCAGAAACACTGTGTCCCCTATATAATTCCCTAGATATTACATTGAACCGGATATATGCCCTAAGAACTGAACTATTTGCTTCCTGCTGAGTGGGTTGTGCGGCCGGGATTAAAACCCCACGGTTTACCTTCACTACACATTTGCAACCTTATCAGCGCTAACCTAATGGTGTCTCTATAGAAGTGCAACTTCTCCTCTTTCTTTTAGTAAAGCGCGTCAGAAAACAGTGTGCGTTTTTTTGACTTCGCTTCTGCTTTCATCTTCGTGTGCGTAGTGAAATTCCCCGAGTCCGCTACCAGGAGGCTATGAAGTCCAAGAAGGAGAGCCCTCGAAATCATCCGTTTCCTCGATTCCCAGTGATCGATTTACTGTATGGCTCCGCTAGCTACCACACTTCTTCCGCGAACTCTCACTATAGAATAGCATATCCTAGTATTGACTTTTATCCGTGCGACTCAACTGCCGCTCAGAGGACAACTCCCACCCCTCACACCATTAAATTGCATCCAAAAGGATTAGTAAAGTTCACAAGCAGTGTTCTCCCTGAGCCATCGGACATGTAGATTTCTCTTAGCTTTTCAGAGAATGATGCGGGGTACAGCACATTTCAAGTCAATATGAAGCTATGTAATATAAAGGCTTTTGAGTGCTGTAGATATTCATTAAAAAATCTGTTTAGATTTTTTAATGAATATCTCCGCTCCACTACATTCACAGCTGGATTTCCTAGTCTCAAAATTGTACCGACGGTAGGCTGTTAGGTTAGAAAGGTTACCATGGGTTTCCAAACTGACGGCAAGTAAGGCTAATCGCCAGGATTATTCGTCAACTAGGCGGGGATGACAAAGTATATCAAACGTGGTAGAGCCATGCTACAGCTATATTATTGGTATAGTTGAAGCACGAATGGGTCGGCTCGACAGGAGAAGGACTACGCTCTCACAGAATACCAGCGTAAAATAGCAGCTTAACGTTGCTGTGTTTCGTATGGTGAGTGTAAGGAACCGGAGACCCTTTTTACTAGAACCGAGGCATTGCATCTTAGTCCTCATGGCTGACAACGCATCTGCATTTTGATTCGTAATCGAGGATAGATGTAGATATCTATGGGCCACAGCAACCACTTACCATCAGGTGGACTGTGACCCCTATCCTATAAAAAAAAATTAAAAAATCCGGACAAGCCAGACATGTAAATTTTGTCCGGATACGCCCCTGAAAAACCAACTATGTCTGGTCAAAGACATACGCCTGGCAACTTTTGAGTCCATGCTGCAGTAGCCACTTAACATCAGGCAGACTGTTAACTCTATTTGTCCCTCTATTGTTTTAAAGACAAGCTCGCACTAAAAGGTCATAGTCGCTATCATTTTTGTGAACATATGAAAGTACTCTGCTTGGTACAGGTCTTCCCTAAGATCCTTTATCTATCCGGTAAGGAGATTGGTATATATTGGAGTAGTAGTGTAGTGAGCTTATGAGGCAATCCATCTTAAATCCTCAGATGTGGCTGTCCTGAGAAATGGGCTGTAGCATCACCTTACTGTCAGATGGCCAATTAAATTATATGTCATTAAAATGAGCTTGTGTTCATCTTGTTTAGACTCCTCCTGGCCAATATTATATATTATGTACAGGCCTTGACCAAATATTGTTCATGTTATCGATAGATTTGTCTACATACGATTAGTGAGTAGATTTAATTTGGCAGCTTTTTACTTCCTTTGCTCCATAGATGAATATATTTTTCGCTTTGATTTTACACTGCACATTTTGTAGGTCTTGAGTTATTGCAGTGGACACATTTTTCATTTTGATATCGTCGCCTCCCCCTACGTGTTTCCCACCTCCTGAGTTGACACGATTTGTCATAAATGTCACGTGTTCAAGCGGATTGTTGATTGTAGTACCATGACGTCTCCAGTCATTAGTCCTACTCTACTTTTTTTATGTATAGAAAATTATTGTATACATTGTAATATCAACAAGGTAATTATAGTGCACTGTCACTTCAGCCTCTCCACAGTTATATTTACCGTTTGCAGTCGTGTTTAGAAGATGGATTGGCGAATTCCGGTATTAGAACTCTTACGCCTCAGGTGATAAGACTCCTTTTCTGCCGTGCGTGATTGATGTGTCTATCCTGAAGAGTAGAGAGCCTGTACAATTACAGGCTATAAGGCACTCCATCTTAGTCATCAGAGGTGGCAATGTATTTGTAGCCTTCTTTGTTAAAAACAATCAGAAAATATTCACTGTAGGCTACCCTTCGTTGACAATATTCGAGTCAACGGCTGAATAGTTCATGGCTAACAAATTTTCGAGGTGGATCCTCACCATCTATGAAAGACAGCTTTTATGTACATTATATTATGTACGTACTTATAAGTTAAAAACATTTGTTGAACAAGATAATTTTTTGTCTACAAGAAAAAATACATTTACAAGGGTTGCACTGCCAAATATTTTCGTGGCGCTTTCTTTTTATAGATGCTTCCAGTTTTCGATTGTTTAATTAAATTATGTAGTGTATTCGCATTCGGATAGTCAATTTTATAAAAAAATGAGGGAAACATAAGCATGGCCGTCATTTGAATACAACTTTACTTAGTAACTTATATAACTATAGCAATAATTCACCATTTTAGATATTATTTTTCGAAAACGTCACTTAAAAAACATACTCGAGTGAACCGCATGTGTTACAGCAGACTTAGTGGTGTGCGGTAGCACAAGGTCGCGTCGCCTCCCGCCCCGTAAGGCCCCCCGCCCCGCAAGGTCCCCCCCCCCCTTGTACATTAGTTTCACAAATGTTGGACTCTCTTTAAAAAATTTTCTTCTGGTGTGTTAATAGTAGTCCGTATTTAAATTGTTATTCTTTCATTTTAGAGGACCAGCGCGAAGGCAAACTTTAATGGACGAATTATTTTGGATGATCGGAGGCGTAAGACCAGGTACGGGCGCAGTCACCGCGGGAGCACCTTTCGTGTTCGTGGGAGCGCCGGGAGACTACGTGTTTGGTGGTGAAGGTAATTCTGATGAATATTCTTGTTTCTACTTTCTCCAACTTGTCGGATTCACGGATTTAATTAGTCAGTATTTGCTGCAATTATTAATTGTACTGCTGTTGTTTGTTGCTAGTGATTAAACTCGACGTGGATCTTCACTGTTTGTCGTAATACGTAATAGAACAATGACGTATCTACAAATAGGTAGTTAACAGGTAATAACTTAAATTGAAAATTTAAAAAACCCCCGGAACAAAAGAGCTGATGATCTTCAAACGGCTGAACCGATTTAAATAAAGCATGTCTAAAAATATGCTTGAGTGTCGTGGAACACTCGGTTGGAATGACTTTCCTTTCGTAGTTATATTATTATTGATAAACCTATTATGTTATTGATTAAAAAGTACAAATAAATGAATTACTAGCGACTATTAAAATGAAGCGTCATTTAAAATAATATAATATTTCTTTCATGGCAAGATAAGAAAAGTGCGAGGGAGATAGACATTATTCCATCTCGCTTCCTTATAGCCTACACTACATCAGAAGGGGTCTTTTGGGCTTTTGTCGCCTAGCCCCCATCCGCCAAAACTGTACGGTCCAATAAAGAACTTTGTTTCAAAACCACCGCTAGAAAACCTGATTTTAAAAATAAACCGCATACACATTGGCAGTCAGATAGACAGACATACAGTCAGACAGACAGACAGACACACACACACATAGCAGTCAAACTTATAACACCCCTCTTTTTGCGTCGGTAGTTAAAAAGTAAATAGTACAGCACTTAAGCTTTGGCAATAATTTTTTGGTTATACTTAGAAAATGTGGCTGAACTTTTTGGTTTCAAACTGATTTATAGAATTATCACTTATTATGTCTAGATTCTGCATGTCATTAAATGTAAATGTGTTGGGGATGCTAAGACAGTATGTTAATCTATGTGTCAAATATATAAGATCAAATAATCTATAAGGCTATCTTAAAATTGAGTGGCGTTTGAGTATTTTCATATTATCTCCAAATACTGAAATGCTTTACTAAATTAAATAACCTAATAATATGTAAGTACATATACATAATATACAATAATAATAACAGTGGTAAAGCCACGCGGCAGCTTTTGCTGTCGCACGGATGGGCCGGCTCGAACCAGGGTGGTACCACGACCTCACAGAATACCAGCATGAAGTAGAGGTTTACCTCTGCGTTTCGCTTGGTGAGTGCAGGTGGCCAGAGGCCCTTTTTACTGGAAATGAGGCATTCCATCTTGGTCCTCACGGGTGACAACGCATCTACATTTTGATTTGTAACAGAGGATAGATGTAGGTGTCTATGGGCCGCAGCGGCCACTTACCATCAGGTGGACCGTGTGCTCGTTTGTAACCCTTATCCTATAAAAAAAAATAGAAGATACCTTGTTATTTCAGGTCTTGATGCAGTGGTTACACAGTTACTAGGCCAGTTGGAGAATGCAGGCCCACCTCCATTGCCCACGGACCAGTTGGCTTCACTGCCCAGTGAAACAGTGTCTGCTGACCAGGCCGCTGCGAACACATCTTGCTCTGTCTGCTGGGACAACTTTTTGGAAGGTATGATATTATTCATGTTTGATGAGAATTTAATTAAAAGGAAATAAAATTATGTTCTTATGAAATCATCACAAGTTCGTTTGATTATTTCCTGGTGAAGTCAAAAGTAAAACTTTTCTACACTAATATTATAAACAGGAAAGAGTTATTTGTTTGAATTGAATAGGGTCCGAAACTACTGGATCGATTTGAAAAATGTTTTCACCATTACAATTCCTACATTATCCCTGATAAACATGGAAACAGAAACAGACACTTTTTTATTCAATATAGATTATAAATAATACTTATTGAAAGTCACTCTTTTCTATAATTACCACTGGTTCGAAAAAAAACCTCTGTCCTGGGAAGAACCAGCGGGGCTTTTTTTTTTAAATAACAGCTTACAATCATGTATGTTACACAAATTAACAACACAACAAATTAGAAATAGCTTGGTAGCATAGCAATCACCTCATTTCCAGGGGTTATTATCATCTATAATATTTTCAAAAAGTTAGGAATCCATATAAAATTTTCGTTAATGTAACCCAAGGTGTAAAAAAATAGCAAAAAAAAAAATCCTTATATCGCCTACGCTGCGGAAATTCACATGCTACAGTTTTATAGAGGACATCAATATCTACAAAAAAAGTCTGCGTTACCATATGTCTAATTATTACAGTTGTCACAATAACTACTTTTTCATGTTAAAATATGCAATAGTAACGCCAGTACAAACTAGGCCACATTATTCCTACCTTGGTACTATTCCTTGTCTATACAAATAAATAAAATTGAAGTGTCTGTTTGTAATGTTAAAATAACAGCTTTTTACGGAACTCATATGAAAGTATATAGGGTAATAACAACAAAAAAAAAACAATGTTTAAAATTTTTATCTGTCTGTTTGTTCCGGCTTATCTCCGAAACGGCTGGACCTATTTTCACGGGACTTTCACAGGCAGATGTGAAAGTCCCGTAAGGGGTAACTTAGGATACTTTCATTTTAGAAAAAGAATTAGGGTTCCACGCAAGAAAATTAAAACCTATGATGTTGTAGTAAATTCCACATTCATATAATTATGATAACACTTGTAGTAGCTGTTTTGAGGATGATTGTGAATAAAAGGTAAAACTGCAATGAAGCTCTTCTTCTTGATTTTATATGGCAATTAATCTTATAGTCATGATGTTAATATGTATCAGCTTACAGTAATTTTCATTCTTTAAAATTTTTAATTGGACAACTTTATGAATCTAGTATTTTTATAGGATTGACATTGTGTTATTATTACTACTCTATAAACTACTTTTTTTACATTCACTGTACTGTTTACTTGATTAATAATAATCAAATTGTATATTAATAATGATAACAATATATCAGATACTTCACGATTCCAGTTATATTTCCTAAGTGATTTTTGACAGATGAACAGGGCACTTCTAGGAAAAAAAATATACAAACTATTTTGCATAATGGCCAATATTCGTTAAGCTTACTATAAAATCGGAGCAACACGGGCCACCGGCCGATTGGATTGGCGGAGGATAATGTTTTCCAGACCGAATTCGGTCACGGCGGCCAGTCTCAGCGGAGACTAGTCATCGGCGCAGGACAAGATTATAGTGCACAAGTGTATGCGCAAGCACGGGTGCACTCTCTATTCCCTCACTCTTATAGTCCGATGGGTACGGTAAACCGACACGACCGGAGAGAGATCAGGCGCAGGATAAACGGCTTTACGTGCTTTTCGAGGCACGGGGTCGAGGCACCGTCAGCTTCCTGAATCCGGGCAGCTACTGAGAATTTCTTGATGGAAAAACTCAATAACTGATTCTTTTGGCCCGACCCGGGGTTTGAACCCCGGACCTCATAATCAGCAGTCGCACTAAACACCCACTAGATCAATAAGGCAGTTAAACACTGAGCGATACTGCTATAATGTGTGTGTCTAAAATTGTTAGTTGTTTTAATTGTCATGTGTGAGTTTCGTACTGACAGATGATTGTTTTTGTGTGCGCAGATATCAGGGAAAATCGTTATGGCTACTCCCCTTCGGTCCGCTGGTGGCCCGTGTTGCTCTATGTTTCTAATGAATAGTTTTTCGTACATAATCAAGAGACCAGATATCATAATGCATTATGCAATTGTATATTTATGTTGCGTACGTGAGACCAGTCTGTCTCTATCATAATTATAATATATATAAATAACGGGATTAATCATATTTTAAGTCTAACAAGAACAACAAATTATTTTTCTGTATACATAACCACGAAATATATCACCTTTGGTATGCACTGATTTTCTTTTTAAACATAATTTCACTTAACAATAACTTAGATAATATCATAATATTATACAGCTCTGTTAATGCCATATAATGACGTTTGTTTTATCCGATATTACAGGTGAGTCGATATCCCGTTTGGAGTGCGAGCACGTGTTCCACTCGGCGTGCATCCGTCCGTGGCTGCAGCTGCACGCCACGTGTCCCATCTGCCGGCGCTCCCTGCTGCCCGACGCGCCCGACGCCGACGCCGCGCCGCAGCCCGAGTCGCCCACGCGTGAGTACACCTTCCTCCAACTCGTGCGCTCCTGGTACACCTACACCGTATTCGTGCGCTCCTAGTACACCTCCGTCATACTCGTACGCTCCTGGTACACCTCCATCATACTCGTGCACTCCTAGTACACCTCCATCATACTCGTGCGCTCCTAGTACACCTTCATCATACTCATGCGCTCCTAGTACACCTCCCTCAAACCCGTACACTCCTAGTGCACCTTCATCATACTCGTGTGCTCCTAGTACACTCGCTCATGAGTATACGGCCCCCAAACTCATGTGCTCCTGGTAGACTTGCACAGTGAGTATGCGGCCCCCAAACTTGTGTGCCTCTAGTATACTCGATTTTCAGTACACGGACCAGTATACTCATGCGCTTTGGTATATCGTACACTCCTGCTATACTCGCTCATAAGTACATAGCCCTCACATTTGTTTGAGTACACGACCTGCACACTTGTACGCTTCTGGTATATTCATGGGGGATATTTACCGTAGTTGACTCCCTGCGCTGGCAAGCGAGTTGGTAACCGGATTTTTTTTATTGTTTTGAGTTGTTACCAGTAGATGCTGCTGTCTATTTTCTGTTGCATTTCCCTTTGTCACCTCTTACGACACCCACGGGACGAAGTATGTAAGGTAGTGGATATTCTTACTCCGCCACTACACGGTCAAAGGGCGCTTGAGTTCACCGCTATGACATTCATGCTCTCCATCTAGAGTCGTTATCTACTTGTAAATATGTGCTTATTATATGTACATAGTCCATGTGGTATAATAGAGTTGTGCTGCAAGTTTTTGTACTGGCGATTGATTATGCATGCCTAGATGGAGTGATGAAGACCAAGCGGGTTAGCATTCGACTTTCTATGATCGTTAATGCTATACAAAACTATAAAAATAAATGAGAATGACATATCTAAATCGTAAGTCATAACTTAGCATTGGTTAGCATTCCTTGGCCTATATGAAGTGTGAATGTGTGGGCACTTCTGGAAAAGTCACAAATACAAAATACTAGTGTTAAACAGCAGCAAAATGCAGCTGTGCGACCCATGGAGGTAACAGTAACTATAGAATTCATTTGTGGTGATATTCAGGGTTTCAACACACCTATATATTGGCAGGTTTACTGAAATAATTAAGAGAAACAATACATAAATGAATAAGTTTATTAATAAAATATTTTCTTTAACAATTAGTTCTGTAATGACTATTCAAGTAAGCCTGGAGTGTTATGCAATTTATTTTACAACAATTTATATATTTCTTTCCAGCATCACTTCCTCGTGTATTACTACGGCGAATTCCAAGAAGGCAAGTGTCAGGGCCACAAACACAAATGTGGGACTCACTTGCAGATTCAAGTAGTTCTTCAGGATCCACTTCTACAACATCTTCAGTCACAGCTGGAGGAGTTTGGGCCCCTCAGGCCCGTTCTACAAGCAATTCTACCGGTACCAATTCAACAACATCCCTCAACTCTAGTAATGAAAGAGAGCTCAGGGAGCGACAGTACAATATGGATATAGACTACGATTAGACTTCCTCTATGGTTATGTGTTTCTGCGCACAGAGTGACTCATGTACAATTTTCATTAGTGTTGGTGATTTCATTTATTTTCGTTTTAATTTAAAACTTTTAATTTTCTTATTATAAAGTGATGTTCAGTGTTTTAATTTGCATTAAAAAAGTAAAGTATAAAAATGGACTGTTTAGCCATGTGCCTTTCATTTGTTGTGCAGTGGTGATGAAAAAAATTCCATGGAAAATTGTTACGTGCCTATGGTTTTTCGCTAATATTTTTATTTGCAAGTATCATCCATGATATGGATTTTGTGTAAATTTTGTAAATATTAATCGTAATTGTAAGCATTTTTTTTTTGCTGAAGTTTCTTTGACTATACATTTTGGTATATTTATATCTGTTATATGTTTATCACAGGTAAAGTATGTATCTTTATTTGGCTTATATTTAATTTCTAGAAAATATTATCAAGTCATCATTTTCATGTGAATTTTCAAACACATTTTATTATTCTATTTTTTATTAAATCTGTGTCATATTTCTACATTTCAACCTCAGACCAACAAAGAAAGTTAGACCAAGCGCTGCGTGCATTCAAAGTGACTCCGAAGGCTTGATATGAACTCACTTTACACTTTACTTCTTGATATGAACTCACACACACATTTTTCTGCTTTCTACAACTCGTAAAATTCCACTACTGGGGCATGCACACATCACTTAAAACCATTTTGTTGGCTACAAGTGGTTTTAGTTTCATATGTGTACGTGAGTGCATATACTTAGAATTAGAATATGTTGAGCATGGTTTCGGCGCCAGTTGAGATGTGCTTCGTCTATTTTTGTTTATTGGTCTGAGTTTGTAATTTAAAAAATAACTTACTTTTTCCATGTTGTAATGCTCATAACAAAAACAGTATTGTCACGATATGTCTATAGCTAATGAGTGTTTCATTAAGTATAGAGCATACACCTTGACAGATATATTTATTTTACGCTTATCTGTCCACAGATTACATTAACACTGTCTATTGATTATTACAATGTAAAAACTTTTTGTTATTAATCCATTAATTTAACTGTGTGTACTCTTGTTATTTGCTCAAGTGTATAATATTAAATTTACTTGGGTGTAAAATAAGTTGAGAAACATTAAATTTTAAAGATTATTAATTTATTTTTATTTTTTAATTTGTCATAATCAGGGGCGTAGGTATTGTTTTTTGACAGACATGAAAAGCGTTGGCTTTATTTATTGTTGCAACAATTTGAATTCCATGTTTTATGAAATGAAATAATATTGTCGTCCAAAATTGCTAAGCTTCTTCAGTGAGGTCCTTGATAATCGCAGATGTGATAGGTCGATTGTTGAAATAATTTATTCCGATCCCCGGCACAAGGTTTTTTACTCGATAAGAGGAATGCAGAACTTTCTAGGCAAATCCAGGTCATTGCACTCATTTTTAGATTAGATTACATTACTCATCGTTAGATTACATAACAATACCTAAGATAAAAGGCTTTATAAACGTAAACATTTGCGTCTTGCTGGCATCAATAGCTAGAACGTTATTTATTTTTAACCTCCAATGCAAACATCTGTGTGTCGTCTGCCTGTGGCATCGCAGCTCCCAAACGGATGAACCAATTAATTTATTTTGTGTTTGGTAACTGGATTGAACGTTCTTTCTTTTCAGCCGTAGGAAGCTTTGAAGATTATCAGTTCTTTTTGTTTCGGGTGTTTTTAAAACTTTAAATTTAAGTTGCATTGCCTAGACGTAACTCCACAGAGTCCGTTGACCCTTATTATTGGGAACATTCTCATGCAATGTGATGCAATACGCATACTTACTGTCTTAACAATATAATTTGTTTAGGTAGCAGCTATGATTCATATGCATCTTAGTAGTAATTTAAATTATACAGGGCTATTTTTCAGAGAGTAGCTAAATTTTAAACTTAAATTCAAATATATAAATATTGTTATTGTAGTTTCTGAAAATGCGAGTAAACAAGGCTTCTATTTTAATTTGAAGTTATCCCAAATTGAACGTAATTTAAGGGCAACATCTACGCATACTTGCGCTCTTTTTGCTATGGAGCAAATACAAAGAGGTGTTGTAATTAGATTTCACTATGTAACAACGCGTGACAATTTGCGCGATGAGGGGATGTTAAGCCCCGCCCACTTTACTATTTTCCATTTACCGATAAATAGTAAAACTACTCGCGTCGTTCCATATCGACGTTGCAATTTAGTTTAGCTACCTTGACGATAGATGGCGGCCGGTTCACAAAATTATTATAAAAACTATAAAAATAATATTTAGGCGATTAAAAATTCTTTAGAACTGAATGCAAAACCAATTTCAACACCTTCGTATGATTATTTTACCAATACTGAGCTCTACGTACCTTTATATTTTTAGTTCCCATGACACAGTGTCACCATCTAGTGTCGAATATATGTGTAATTACATTTGGAAGCCCACGCAGAGATTTTTCTAGAACCTTTTTAATAAATTTGATATAAAATCCATATATCAATATAATATCCAATAAAATCCATCCATAGCATCAGAGCATCTGTCTGAGTAGATTTTACACGGTAAAATGCGATTTTCGACACACAAGCGGGCAGGACGAACGCCTACAACTAAGTAAGGCCACGCCCACTGTGATGACGTCAGGATCTGTGTACAGTTGATTATGCCTCTTTGTATTTGCTCCGTGGTTTTTGCCTACCGATCGACCCTTACGAATGTGTACGTGTTTAGTAAAATAGTAGGCGTTAGATATTTATGAATGACAATCAGTTGAAATAATGTGTTACAACGTATCTTGAATTTATAAGACAAAAAGGACAGAATGTTTGAGATATTTTTAGCCTATATTATTTATTATGAACCTTCTATGCAAATTTGACCGGTTATTGCAAAATAACCCTCTGTATTACTCATGCCCATCAATATTTGCAAGTTGTAGCTGTATTACCATATGTTCTATAATATAAATTACTATCATCATCATCATCATCATCATCATTACAGCCCTTCATAAGTCCACCGCTGAACATAGGCCTCCCCCAATGAATGTGTGGCATTCAAGCACGGTCCTGAGCCACCTGCATCCATCGATTTCCTGCCTGCTTTACCAGGTCGTCACTCCATCTCTAAATTACCATCACATATTGGTAAAGTATTCCAATAACACTTGCTTTGCATTGAATAATTTGGAGTTGTCAGAAAAATAAGTTAAAGCCTTGTAAAGACTTGTATAAATATCTAAATTAAACTTCATAATATTTCTTTATTTGCATATTACCTCCTATATATCATTATAAATGAATTAATATTATTTACCATGGCATTTCTCAGCATATGATAGTTATGAGGAATGTTGATCAGGTTACTTTAATATTGGATCTTAACTTGTATGTGATAAAGCTAAAATTGCTTTTTTGATTAAAGCAAAATATATAGTTTTGAAGTGAAAAATTATCTCGTCCGTATGATAAATATATATTTATAAATTATTCAAACCTTACCGAAAAAAGACCTAGGGTTAAACCTAGGTTTACTAGTTCCTAGGGCGTTACCAGTAACATACATAATATATCATACAGAAGCTTAAAGTCCCTCAGTGCGGTGTTTCTCTTAAAGACAAAATCAGTTACAAATATGTTTGAGATAGTAACTGATATAGCCCAACAGATTAGTAAGGTGAAATTACAATGGGCCAGACATATATTAACTCGGCAAGAGTTGTTGGGACTCCCGAGCTACTTCTATCTATCTATATAGTCTGTTCACTAAGATAGCGTCGGTACACCTGGAAGCGCACTTAATATTTTGCTTTTATTTTATTATTGTTCATTGTGTTTGTTAAATAAATGTTTTTCTATTCGAAGAACGAAATAGAATACTATTTTATTCTTATAGTTATTGTAATAAAATACGAATGTAAATAATAAATATAAGTTAAGTAGCAAATAACCTTTCACTCCGGCGCTTAGTTTTAAAATGCCAAATTCTCCTGCGGGTGTACGCCGCGTGGGGCGACCTTAAATGTCGCGGCAGAGCCTTTAACAATATAGGCACGTGCCAAGGCGGCAAGATGTACGGAACGGACTGTACCCTGTCCCGAATTGAGAATCGCTAAGGTGAAGTTTTTAATATACAGATTTTTTGACCCTTTTGAGTGGAGTAAGGAACATCACAAGCTCAAGGTATCAACTAGAATTTCGTCTAAATTATTGGATTAATAAGTTCACCCCAATTTTCCGACCCTTAGAGGTGGAGTTTTTCCAATGAAAATGGAATGATTGAATTCGGTTCACAATTAATGAAGATATTGCGTAACATACATACAAATAATTTATAATTTAAAATTAAAAATTTTGTACAGCCGACTTCAATATAAGCGTCTTCAATATAAGTTATTTAAGAATAACTCAATAACCATTGGTCTGACCTTGATCAAATTCATATGGGACCACACAAGAACAAGCTTTCATATAAAAAAAGAATCATAGAAATCAGTTCACCCAGTAAAAAGTTATGAGGTAACACACATAAAAAAAACATACACTCGAATTGAGCACCGTCTCCTTTTTGGAAGTCGGCAGAAAAGAACACATTCGAAATAACAACATTTTTTGAAGTTTGCTAAAAATAATATTGAAAAATCGTTGAGAAACTTTCAGCTCACTTGCAAACAAGTTATTTTTTATTTTATTGGGACAAAAGAGTTAATGTAATACAAGACAATAAATTTATAATAGGAGTACTTAACGTGTAACCCACACCAATGCCCACAAAGTAATATTATATGCTTAATCTCATGTTATATATTTTAATTTTAATAAATAAATAATTTTTAAGTTTAATTTAATAAATAATTGTTAATACAATTGCGCAATTTATGAGAGTATAGGAAATTATGCTAATTATTACATAATTTATAAATCCTTATAGTCAGTTAGCAACTTAGTTACCATTCTTTAAAAACTTTA